CACTTTTAAAAGACGGTAAAATTACAATAGAAATGACAGCAATTCATACATAAAATTAAAACATTTTGAATATTTTTTATGATCTTGTAATTTATCGGTGGGATGATTTGATCATATTTGAACACGATATATAAAAATCCACAGCTCATTTTTGAACTTAAGCATTGAATTACAAAATTTATTCACAATTCTGGTTACTACTGCCTCTGCAGAGCAGAATTTTTTCAAGTTAAAATGTATACAAAAACACCAGTCTGAACATTATAAGCTAACTGAATTTGGCATTACTCTCATTAGAACACAGACTGTGTGAAAAATCTTGACTGTAATATCAACATGAGTATTTAAGGTAAAATTTATTTTCTGGCTAAATACGAATTCTATATTTTTATAACTAATCTAAACACTTCTAGCCCATAAAAAAACACTCAGCTATAAGCCATAGTAACTACAGCAGTTATTTTTGATATTTTTCCAACTTTCAATCAAACGAAAACTGTCTTTTATACATATTTATCAATTTTGTTATATTAATGTCAAGGTCAAGGTATAAGAATATAGCATATTTATTTAATAGTTTGTTAACTTGATCATTTAATTTTTAATAGTTTACTTATTTATATATATTAATTTATTCAATAGCTTATTAACTGTAAAATTTAAAAATGTTTATACACACTTATTTGTTCTCTTGTGCTAGGCAGGCCCGGTCACGCCTATTGTTAAAAATTTGTGAATGCCTTACGATGGTGTATTATGTTATGATTACACAACACGAATTAGTGAAAGAATGATAAATATGAGTCTCTTCTAATCCTGGAAGGCCCCCAATAACCATAACTGTGTTGAGAAGAAGAGACAAGGATGTGAGGAAATAAAATTATATAGCTAATATAAAAGTATATCTACAAAAGAAGTGCGGGAAGCTATCACTATATGTTCCCCGCTGAATCAAATAGATTAAAAGCCCTAGAATACTATTTTACAGCTAGAGGAAGTATGAGCCTGAAATTTAAATGTCTGAGACTTTGAGAGACTTAAAATGGTCCTTGCTTCTCTTCTGTTTACAAGCATGGGGCACAAAAAGCTACACCGCCTATAACGAGGATGCACTTTTATTTAACGCCCACTGCAGATGTCACAAATAGGGGAGAGCCAAAGACCGTGGGAAAAAAACAATGGATTTGAGGTGCCTCTGCTACAGTGCAAGATCAGGGTCTAATCAAGGAACATTCCCATCCCATTCTCATCTCCCAAGGTAGAGGGTCCTCACCACCTTTACCTGGTGAGATTTCAGAACTCTTGTGAATCACATTGGTGTCTGCCATGTCTATTCTATGATTCTCTTCATATGGAAGTGTTTAATGAATACAGTCCTTCTGCTCCTGTTCTACTGCTGTATATTTGGGGAGCATGAAAAACTAATCTTTTAAGCTCATGCTTGACTAGAGCAAAACAAAACACAATCAGATTTTGTATGGAGTCTACTCCATCATCACAGCTGGCGAGCCGGGGCTTTAAGCCTAATGCCATAGCAAAACAGAACTTTTGGACTGACTTCTTTGCGGAGAGGCTGAGTATATTTTGCCTATGGGAGATGTGGCGAGTTGAATATTTGATGATCTGAAGGGTGGTGGAAAGGAAAGTGATAGTCCTGAATGCTGTCCACCAACAATTTCCAACTTTCAGCCTCCTGGGCAAATGGTAGCACTTGTCCTCTTGTCCCACCTGAAGTGGAGTGGCCCATGTGATCAGATTTGGCCAGTGGGTTATGATGAAAGGAATGCCACTTCCAGGATGGAGCTCTTCATTGCCGTGTGAGACTCCATGATGACAAACAATGTTTGGGGTAGTGACTGCTTCATCAGCCTTAGGTCGAGAGAACCTTGAGTTAGAGCTTCAGCCAACCACCAACAGACAGATAGATGAGGCAAATAACTGTTGTTGCTATAAGCCATAAAGAGATGAAAGTTATTTATTACTACATTATAATGTAGACTTTTCTGATTGCTATAATGACACCAAACATCAGTTTCATTAATAAAAATGAAATATTTCTCCAAATGAAATGAATATTAGAGACATTTGCTTAATTGTTAACCTGGCCAAGAAACATTTTGAATTGTGACTATTAGATCAAATTATTTTTGAACTTAATTTGTTGGCCCTATGATGAGATTGAGATTCAGAACCATGTGATACCTTGCCCTGTGAAAAGCAGATGAACTCTTAAATTCGAGATATTTTACCCCATCTACAGTATTTACAGTTACTGCAGGTGGCATAATGATTTTGGAATAATGAAAGCTAATGCAGCTAATTTCTCCCCAGGATATTTGGCAGTTTCTCTCAATCTTTTGGTTGCTTTCTCAAAACAGCTGGAACTTAATTCTAACAATACAGAGAGACAACATTGTCCTACAGATTTTAATTGCCAATTATGCAGGTTTCAATTTATGAATCTATCTTTTATGAGATTATAATAGAGTTTAAAAAGAAGGTTTTTAAACACTATCAGGATTACTTCTTCACATTCCTTACCTAAGTTGTGAAGGTTAATAGGTTTTAATCTGTAAATAAAAATAAAAATAAAAATAAATATATATAACCACTGAAGAAAGGTAAATATCTATACTGTCATATCTTTGCAAATCTAAATAATATTAGATTAAATTTATAAAACTATCATCTATAGATAATTCTATTAAGTTCATAGAATTAGAAAACAGATAATTACATGAAAAATACATCACTATAAATTAACAAACATATTGACTAGGCAAAAAGCATAAATATCAAAATATCAACTATCATTCACATATCAGAAATATATATGACATATGTATAGATGTACATATATATGTGTGTACATATCCACATACATCAGATGTACTTATCAGATATAAGCATATACGTAAAATCCTCAAACTGACATTTTCTTAAATAAAAGCAATGGTATACATTCCTGAACACAAAATAATGTTTTAAGGGTTATTTTTAGAACAGACTCTTGACTTATATTTAGATTTGATTGCTGGTCTTAGTAAATCAAATTATTTTACAGTCTCTATTTTCCCATAAGAGGGAAAAGCAAGCAATATTTATTCACTTAACTGGTTCTGGAGTAAAGGGTTCGTATTTGGTTCCTGCTGTATTTCCACAGTTAAATAATGTATTATACTAAAAAAAAAGACTTTTTTTAGTATAATAAAAAAAAACCTGGGGTAAAAGGTTATTGTTTGGTTCCTGCTGTACTTCTAAAGTTAAATCATGTGTTATATTAAAAGAAAAGAAGTATTGAAGAGAGTTTTATTTAACTCTTTTGTTATGAATGGTATATTGGTTCATTCATTTTCTCCCATGACTTATTTCTGTCTTGCTCCGTGGACTGCAAAAATGGAAGAGGAAATTCGATATTTGTCTCTATATATTATGAAAATTTACTATACCGATACCAAGGTGCTCAGGAATTTCAGGGCTGGGAAATACTCTGTTTACTTAAAGAACCCTACTTAAACCAACTGCAAAATCAGTGCCCTTAACTACCATATTGTAGCCCCTTCTAGACATTAATATTGTTTGTTTTTCTCTTTTTTATTTTGAAATCATTATTAATCCACATGAATTTTCAAAGGTAGTACAAAGGTATCCTGTGTGTGCTTCACCCAGTTTTCCCCAATGGTTACTTAGTGTCAATCCCCACAGTCCCTCAGTCTTCTAGAAGGAACACATTCTCTTGGATAGTGGTCCTCAAACTTGGCTTCACGTCAGATTATATAGGGAGCTTTCAAAATTTTGATACCCTGAACATACCCTGGATCAATGCACCTTCTGTTTATGATGGTTAATTTCGTGTGTCAACTTGACTGGGCCATGAGGTTCCTAGATATTTGGTCAAACATTATTCTGTTTATGATGGTTAATTTCGTGTGTCAACTTGACTGGGCCATGAGGTGCCTAGATATTTGGTCAAACATTATTCTGGGTGTGTCTGTGATGGTGTTTTTAGATTAACTTAAAATTTGAGTTGACAGACTAAGTAAAATAGATTGTTATCCCTGAGGGGGTAGTCCTCATCCAATCAGCTGAAATTCTATTTTTGAATAGGGGAAAAAAAAAAAAAAAAAAGCAGACTTCCCTGAATAAGTGGAACTTCCTTCTGCCTGACTTTAGGCTGGGAAATGTTTCCTCCTGCCTTCAGGCTCACACTGAAACATCGCCTCTTCCTGGATCTCTAGCCTGCTAGCTTTTGGACTGAAACTACACCCCATCAGTTCTCCAGAGTCTCCAGATTGCTGACTGCAGATCTTGGTACCTGTCAGCCCTCATAAAATCTTTCTCTGCACATATATATAGTATACAGATACTATATATAGATAGTAAATATTAATTATAATTGTGTGGTATAAATATTAATTATATTTTATAATTGTATAATTGTGATACTATGATATAAATATATATTATAATCTATACAATAATAATTTGATGATAATTATTGATGTAATATTAATAAAATGTATTACATATGTTTTTTTCATTGGTTCTGTTGCTCTAGAGGACCCTGATACAGGATGGAATAGAGACATCACTATTTTTTGAACTTTCACACCATTTCAGTGTGCAACAAAGGTTGAAACTGCTATGCTAGTACATTTAAGGAAATTTACAATTGCTGCCCCAAATTGTATGTGTGTGTGAGATTGTGTGTGTGTGTGTGTGTGTGTGTGTGTGTGTTTTCTTCCCTGTTCCACCATAGGCAAACATTTATTTTTCTACTTATTTAATCCTGCAGTTAATGAGCTTCAGTTACCCATGAGTGAGTGTTGTTATCATTTCAAAGGCTTTGACAGGGATAGAGGTAAATATAGTTTTCATCTACTTTTATGGTCTGGTTCCTTACATTTCTCCATACTATCACTGCTCATAGCTACATAGACATTTTAGACTCTAACATAAATTTGGGGAAAACAAAAATCTTGATTTTGGTGACTAATTTTAAAATGCATGGTAAATAACTTTTTCCGTAGTGCAAAGAGGGATTGTCCAACTAGTCAAACTGTCTACAGGATGCTTCCATTAGTTAGCATAAAAGGCTAAGTTTCCACAACAAAGACACATCAAAACACAGCAGCTTGAGTATAACACATTATCTTCTTTCTCTCACATACATTCCAAGGTGGCCATTCCAGGTCATGTGGATAGTTTTGCTGCACCCAGACCTTCTAGGATCCAGGGTTCTTCTCTTACATTATTTCATCATCTACTAGAGCATTTTCATCATCTGCCTGAACAAAGCTGCATAGGTTCCACCTGGCAGGAAGGGGAAAAGAGCAGGAAGCAGGCATGGACATCACCCTAAGGCAGAGCCCGGAAATGGCATAGCCACTGGCAGGAACTGAGTCACGCAGCTGCACGTAACTGAGGGATTCTGCACTGTGTAATCTCTCTGTTCACCCAATAAGAGGCAGAAAAGAATTTTGGTGGGAAGTAACAGTACCTTGACACTACCATCTACTGAAAATTCCTGGTTTCTAAGTCACCTCCATTGTACCAGGAGGGAAGAGGGGTGTTTAACTTCTACTGAATTACTAGTTTTCTTCTTTTAAACTCTCTTAATTTTTTATTTTTGATTATTAAGATCCTGTCTTATTTCCACAAATAATTCAGAAATGTGTGTCAAAATTTATAAAGTGAAATCAGTTAGAAAAAGATGAGTTGAGAAATAACCAACATTTATTAGGAAACTTTTTTAGGAAATAAACTTTTAAGACTGTCATATGGTTAGCATGCAGAAATGTGAATTTTTACACAATATCTAACAATATGTCCAAAATTTAGCTTTTTGCTTCCTAGTACTAAAAGAAAATAGAGAAACAATAGCATTTATAAGATTCACCAGAGCCATAATATAAAATTTACCTATAGATAACATTTAGTGAGAGTTTTTTAGGTACTGGGTACTACTCTAAGCAACTTACTTATATTAATTCATTTAAGCATCACAACGATCCCATAAAGTAGGTACTGTTCTGGTCTCATTATTAGAGATAGGAAAATTGAGGCCGATTTAAGTCACTGCCATAAAACTATTATGTTGTATAACTTGGATTCAAACTTAGGCAAATCAACTGCAAAGTCAGTGCCCTTAACTACTATACTATAGCCTGTTCTAGACATTAATATTGTTTGGTTTTATCTTTTTTATTTTGAAATCATTATTGACCCACAGAAATGTTCAAAGGTAGTACAAAGAGATACTGGGTGTGCTTCACCCAGTTTTCCCCAATGATTACTTACATAATTATAATACAATATCAAAACCCATATGGTATAATATCAAAAGATACCAACACATTCCGTACAGTGTGCGTCTATAGTTTTATGCCAAACAAGACACAGAAGTATTCCATTACCACAAAGCTCTGCCTTGTGCTCTCCCTACATGGTCTCATCTGTACCTTTCCCCCTACCCATCCCAACATTTGATAAGCATCAGTTTGTTCTCCACCTCTGTAGTTTTGTCATTTTGAGAAAGTTATTTAAATGGAACCATAAAATGTGTGGCTTTTTGAGACTAATTTTTTTTTTTTTGCTTGACATAACGTGTTTTTAGATGCATCCATGTTGCTGTGTTTATCAATATGTTGTTCGTTTTTATTGCTGAGTAGTATGCCATGGTATAGATGTACCACAAATGGTTTAACTTTTCACCTATTGTAAGCCATTTTGTCTGCTTGCAGTTTGGGCTATTACAAATAAAGCTGCCACAAAAATGTATGTACAGAATTTCGTATGGACATAAATTCTCATTTTTCTGGGATGAATATACAAGAATGTGATTACTGGAATGTACAGTCTGTGTATATTTAGAGTTATTATTTTATGAACATGACAAATTATTTTTTCATCGTAGCTATACCAATTTAAATTTCCA